GCTCAAATTAGATCTCTCTTTATAGTAGAGCATGCTGTCTCTGTGTTCTAGTGCAGCGGTAATGACATCTAGTGTATAACTGTATAATGAAGAAGTGGTTTTAAAGGGCCATGTTTTGGTTTAAGCTTTATGTGAGGGATGCCAGGGAAAATTAATTTGACAATGGCTGTATGCACTGGCCTGTACATTCATCGGCTCAGTGTTTTGTCGAACAGAAGTACACCAGACTTGTCTATAAAGCACTTACTCTTTGTGCCATGTCTAGAGAGTAGAACTAGGGTCATTTCCATTTGAGATTAATACTCAGCAAGGAAACTTGTGGCTTTGGCAAGTCTGTGCCTCTCTCAGACTGATTTATCTTACAAGACACTGATTTATAGACTTAGTAATGATTAAGTCCTATTGAATTGGGTTTGGGCTGTCCAATTCCCTTCTTACGGGAAATGCAGATTCATGTAACAATGTAAATTAAATGCCATGTCAATCCATATATTAGATTTGGTCAGCATCCTTATTACACTCTGTTTCACAGCTAGAGTTTTGCATGTTGAAATGAACAATACCTGCTGTAATTCACAGCCACATAAGCCAAAATCTCAGTAATATAAAGCTTTTCCTGAAGAACGTTAGCTAAACTTGCCTGTATTTGTTATATCATATTGCCCTGCCTCTTTTGGTATGCATGAAACATTATCATCTAGCATCAATGCACATGTAAGGTTGTTGGTTTTTCTTGGTATGTCCAAAGGAAAAGAGTAGAAGAAAGGCTCTAAGTACATCTTTAAAAACAAATAATTTTTTAAATCAAATTTCTTCCCATGCACATGGTTAAAGGCAGCTGATGATATGTGCAATTAAGTCAAAACAAGGCATGGGGAGGGAACAGCAGTGACTAGATCTAATTTAATATACAGACAGATTTAAAACAAAAACAAAAAAACAAAAGCTTACATCACCACAACACACATTGACTTTTCTTTCCTAGCTGCTTCCTTATTTATAAATTAAACATTCAGACTCCTCCATTTTGATTCTCCTTCTCGCCCCTTGGTTGATTTGTTCAAAGGGTCCCCTATCTGGGGTATTGCAGCAGAACAGATTCAAAAATTTCTGTTCGGAGAAGGAAGTGAAGAGTTTTGGTTCCCATTTTGCACTTCTGGAACAGTTTAAGGAAGGAAGCACCTTTACACCTTTTATTGTTCGTGGTTGCTGACATCATCTCCTTCCCTGACCACTCAGTGCGTGTTTCCTGCCATTCTGTCAAGACTCTGCTGTGATACTGAGTGGGAGACGGACAGAATGTGTGAGAGAGCAAGCAGAGAAGAGATTGCAGTCTGTGGATTTGTCCACTGGAACTCAGATCCTTCTTCCCTCAGCTATCTCTGCTTTTGCCACATTTATAAAGCGAACAGAAGCCCACCAAAATGAAGTTCCTCATTTTAGCAAACTTTCTGATTTTTTTTGTAAGTGCTTGGGTTTCCAAAAGGGGGAAAATGCTGAAGGCAGTAATTTTGAAGACTGTAACATCAACATTTTTAATGCATTTGTTTACATATAATTCTATCATTGTTTTGGAAGATTTCTTTAATGTAGACCTATTTTGACAGGGTTTCTGGAGTAATTTAATTCATAGCTAGTTTTGTGTGGTGCACATTCTTCAGGGCAGCCTAGAGCTTGTGCTGTTCTACAATTTATTTATTTATTTTTTTAGAAATGTATGGTAGGTTTTTGAAGGCGGTATTCAATTAACCACTGAAAGTTGACCTTGTAAAAGTTTCAGAAGCAGGTAGTGAATATAGTCTTTTAACATAGATCTTTAAAAATATTGGAGGGTATGTGGCTCATAAATTGAATATGCTTTTAAATTTACTCCACAATATATTAATCAAATTTCTTTACCATATAATTTAGCTGTATAGTTTTGAATCTTTCCTGTATATAAACTGTAATGTATATTCTTAGTTCATGCGTGCATATGAGCATATTTATAGAGGTATTTTTCTGCTATCTTTCTTGGGGGTTTGTAATTCAGTTGAAGAAAACTAAAATCCTACAAAGCTACTTTTGAGCAAACAGTTATTCCTAGTCTCTGTCTTTTATTACTGATAGAACTGCTGTATCCCTAAATCATGTTGTGCATGTTTCTGAGTGCTTGTGTAAGTGCACACATGTATGTGTGAATTAGTGAGTGTTTACGGGTAGAAACAGTGAACATACTGTTACAGCTTCTTGTTCCTCAACATTCCTGTATCTGAGAAGCAGCAACGTAATAAATGGGATCAATGCTTCCTTTTTAAACTGCAAGGGTTATCCACTCCCCCCCACAACTTGTCAACAAATTGTTGCTGCAAAAGGCACAATGGTTCAGATTCATTTTTTAAATTACAATGATGCAAATTCGGTGTTCCCTCAATCTCTGTAGTGGGTTTATGTCTGCTAGGTCCAAGAGGTATTTGTGAAACTATTTTTGGAATATTTTATACAGTTGCTGAATACTTAACGTTCCTGACACTGGGCTGTTTATAATTTTTTTTTCCCTCTGAAAGCTTGGTATGAAATGTGGAACTGATAGCTGTGTGGGAGGGGCTCATCATGCTGCTATTTTACCCCCGCTCTGCGTACATGTTCTTGCAGACAAGAGTGTCAGCATTCAGTGATTTCCCGTTCTCCCTTCCATTCCTCCTCCCCCCCCACCAGGTTTTTCTCATGCAGCTTCAGAATCTGGATGTGTAAAGCAACTCTCATCCTGGCTAACTCTGTCACCACTTCTTTAATCTGTCCACTCTGACCTTCCACCCTCAACAGAGTAAGAGTTTAGGCAGGCATAGGGCTGTAAGCCAATGGTGCCTCTGGCTCCACGTGAGTGAATGAAAGGAAGGGAAATTGTCCCATATGCATTTGCTGTGGATTAGTCTATGAGTGTACTGTGGTGGAGAAAGCCTGTTAAACTTCTTTGGGTTCATCACGTACATGAGAATTACCTGGCTTTTTAAAATCAGAGGTAAGAATCACTATTCGGTATTGACGGGAGGCGGGGGGGGGGGGCGGAAGATAAAGACTAAGGGGGATGCTCCCAAGAAAATGCCCAGTCAACAACATTTGAAAATAAACATGTTACTGTAACCACCAACAACTCTAAGGGACTATGACATGTTCAAATGTATATGGTATGCAGTATAGTTTTAGAGAGCTGGTTTGAAATCTACTCTTCTTGTTTGACTTCTCTTTCTGGATTATTAAGAACAAGTCAAGTTGCATCAGTTAAAACTGCAGAAATTGTAGAAATGAAACTGTTTCACTGACACACGAGCTGATTTGGATAGTTAAGAAAACATCAATTCGGCAGGTTTTATGCTATAAAGTAATAATGCCAGCAGTTTTGTTATGAAAACACTATAAAATATAACGCTGATTTCCAGTATAGCCTTGTACATGTCTAACTATGAGTAAGCCCAGTGAATTACAAGAGATTTATTCTCTGAAAAGTGTGTCTAAGATTGCAGCTTCATAGTGTATAGAATATGGAGTTTGTGTGAAGTAACACATGTTCCATTCAATTTCTCTTAAGAAGCCAAGTATCTCTACTAAGAAAAAGAGGAAAAAAGTGGACATCAAAATGAGGATCAGTTTTTCTGCACGAAAAACAGTACCTCGATAAACCATTGCTTCAATTTATCATTATTACATAATTATTCAGGTTGGCTGTAAGAAAAACCAGCTTCCAGTTAACCAGAAAAAACTTAGTCTGCACTATTACATGTCTATATTATTTTTAATTAATAAATAATTCTGTTATACCAGAATTGTGTGTAAAATATTAAGGCTGCAATCCTATGTGCTCACTCACCTAAAGTCTGACTAACAGGGATAGGATTTTACTGTCATAAATAACAATATAGTAAAAACTGGTTTCTTCCATGTATCTTAAAATCTTTTCATGACATTTACAGCTAACTTTTAGGATTATGATAAGCAACTGGCAGATTACTCCCTTTAGCTTTTATGTAATTTGCATTATATATTTATATATAGTGAATTTCCATTAGTTTTTAATTTATAAATATATCTTTTATCTTTAGCTTTATGTTTTGCAATGGGTTGGATTAATTTTGTCGCTTCTAGCATTTTTGTGGAGGAATATAAGAAGTACTGACATATGTTTGTGGATTTTCTGGCGCAATTATGACTTTTTACAATGTGATTTTTCTTTGTTCATTTGCACTGTGTAGGATTAATACATTAATACATACGTAATATCAATAACTGTTCTACTTATTTTATTTCCTGTAGATGGAGATATATACAAATATATTTAGGGAATATATAAGTATTAAGCTATGATGGAAGGAAGGATATTTTTTTCTTTTGAATTCTTTTTTTTTAAATGCAAGATAAGTTAAAAGATTTAGATATCAGCTGACATTTCCCATATATCAAACAAAACTTTAATAAAATAATGGTCTAGCCTATTTGCATAATAAAAAACATTATCATCCCTTCTGTTTTCGTTCAGAAGTGAATTAGCTTGATTAGTTAGCTTGCACAGGTATAGAAGGCTTCATTAACTCTGATTCAGGTAATTTTTCATATTTCTGACGAAGTATTACAGAACACAAAAATGTGCATCCGTGAGAAGTAGGGGAGCATTCACTTTAATTGTTTTAGTGATGCCTTAAAAGGATTCTCCAACACTTACACTTTGAATATCTTCTTGTATGGATGAATGTTATGCAGAGAAATGAATATGTCTTCTGAATAATTGTCTGTAGAACTGGAGTGCCAAAGGTATTTAAGAAAAACCTTGACAACCCATCTGTCAGTAATTAATAATGATAATGCCTAACCATTCTTGACTTCATTTCTAATGTAGTTGCTTATTTAGCAGTTCTACATATTAAATGCAGTCAGGCCACTTGGTAAAATATCACAAGTAATCAAGTTCTATTGAGATTTTGTTTGAGTAACTCTTTAACTATTCACTTCTTTTGTGTACTTGGCAGGAACGGATGCAGGGGTCTGTGAATTGAATTGTGTAAGTGCTGAAGAAGGAGTCTTGGTTTGAGGAAACAGGAAAGAGGAAGGAAAGAGAAGAAGAAAATACAGAAGTGTAGGAACAAACGACAGAAGAAAAACGGGGACTATGGGGAGAAAAAAGATTCAGATCACGAGGATAATGGATGAACGTAACAGGCAGGTAGGTTTACAGATAAACTCGTCAAATTTAAAAATCCTGTCTCATAAGATCTTATAAGGGCTATAAATATCACATCTGCATTGCATCAATGAGATATAAAATAATGTCATTGGGTAGTAAAATTGAACACGCTTTTGACACATGTTTCGTGTGTAGACTTTTCACCTTCTATTGAAACTATTAATATGCACACATATTTGTAAAAGCAAACTTATTTTCAGAATTCCTTATCTCATAAAGTGATTGGTGCCTAATGCAGTAGAACTTAAAAATAAGTAAAACACACTTCGTTTGTCATCTGTGTAACTGCTTAATATCTTCATATGGATTAAGTTAATGATAATGATAATTCATACAACTCTTACCGTTTTTAATAGAAACCGACTTGACTCATATTTGGTAGTTATAGTATTTATTTTCTAATGTAAAACATAAAATGATGGCATATTGAGGACTTGCAAAAATTATGTTACTCTTGCTTAAAAATTCCTTTCATGAAATCTGTTGTGCATGAGTGTTTTCATAATAAAATGTCTGTTAGAACTCTGAAATGTTAACAATACTTCTTGCATCAATACAGTAATTCTAAACAGAAATTACTTTTTCTGAAAAGTTTGAATTATTGTTATTCTAAAGTTAAGGCTACACTGCAATAACATTGCAGTTGTTTTCTGTGAAAAAGAAATGCATAGAAACAAACAAAGGAACAAAAATTAAAAGCCCACACCTTTTAGCAGGCATGCCAAAAGAAAAAGAAAACAAAGTTAAAGCCAGCCAACTAGAGTAACAACGTATATGACTCCATGCCTCTTCAGATATGCTATGCAAATATACTGCATCTTGCTAGTATCATAGTTGGGTTTTGGAAATGGGAACTTGATCCATTTAACTCATTTTCATTGATTGGGCAGATCAGGTTTATAGGTAATTGTTTGTTCCCATTATAGCAACACCCAGGATTTCTAAGTATTGGTATTCCTGTTTTCATAGCTAGATCAGTAAGAAGACATAATCTTATCTGACCCCATGGAGATCCCTCTGGTGTTCTTAAATTCCATTGCAACCAGGGTATCCACGACTAACAAGCAGCTTTTTGCCTGAATCCTTCTTGCTGATCAGTTACATGCCTTTTATAAACATGATGCAATGTAGGAATAATTTATAGTTCTGATTTTCAAGTGAGTCTTGTGTGAAATTTGAAAATACTGCAATTACAAGCACAACTTGACCTCTTCATGGCAGAAACTCAAGTTTCAAATAAAGGCAACAGTGATAATTCAAATCCTTCACTCTAGATTACTTATTGTTCTGGGCAAAACCAGAAAGCAATAATTTTGTCAATAGCAAAGCTCCGTATGTGTTTTAATTGTTTATTGTTTGGAATTTAAATTTAAAAATAAAATAGCAGCAGCATTAAGCATGCAGGCATTGGTAAATTTTGTCATGAGCCTTTTACCACCCTCTTTAAAATTATATCAAAATAAATTTAAAGATGGAGGAAATTTAAATGTCCATTTATTTTTTTAAGGGACTGAAGTTATAGCTTGCTCATACATAGGATACTTTTCTTTTAGTCAGTCTTGTCAATCTTTCATGATGGTATACTTTTAAGAATAGGTGTTCCTGAATTTATTGAAAAACTTCTGTATATTCAAAATACAGATAGGATTTAGTCAAGAAATCAGAATCTCATATTTCACAAATATGAATGACCAGAGGCATGATCCAGCCATATCTAAGTCTCGCTGATTTCAGTAGGAGAGATTTAAGCCACTGCATTTCAAATCAGTTAAATTTAAAAGAGCTGAACATTGGCTCAATCATGCAAAATGTTCTGGATGGTTTGGGGGCATTATATTAATTATATTAATTATTTTGTTATCATTTGATTTATCCAAAACATCTCTCTTGTCTTATTCTTTGTTGTTGTTAAAATGCTTGCACAGTACTTATGGCATAATTGATAGAGGCAACTTTCTGTTGTTGAACTGGTTTTTGAAAATGCTTAGAAGACCTAACGTGAATATTCTACTATTTTAAGTTTCCTGAGCTGGCAAACTTTTAATGCCCTGTTAGGTTTGCTATTTCTTATCCATGCAGAAAATACAATTAAATATTGTTTCAAAATTATTACAGTAGTGAATGGATTAAATCAAGAGTTGTGAGAAGTTAAAATATAGGACTAAATTCTAAACTTTTGCTAGAGACTGTATGCATCTGAAGATATCTTCTAGAAGGAACCTACAGAATAGTGTATAAAGTGGAGCTGGAGCCCGGTTGGTTCAGTAGAAATCTTTGTTCCTCCAATGGAGAATTTCTCTGGATCCAGGAAGCCATCTTTTAGCAGAGGCATATCTGGATCCAACCTATCGTTGTTCTAAGATACATATGCAGGGTGCCTATTACTTTCCATATACACTATGTATCTATTTCAAAAATATTAGATGCATAATATTAACAATACTGCCAAACTTAATTCCTGATGAAATTAGTAGGATTTAGGTTAGTCATGGCTAATTTTTCCACACTGATTTCAGTGGAATGCAGTTGTGAGAACTTTCTTTAGATACATAACTTTCTTTAGTTGCATAGCTTTTTATTTAATAGACAAGAGTGTTAAAGATTTGCACATGCTAGTATTGGAGACTTGCAGAGTGAATTAATAGTTAAAAGTAATAAGTGTTGAAGGGATCAGATTATCATTGCATTTTCAGTCACCTTCCAATTTGTATAAGAAAATATACACAGGACATGATTGGTGTAAAATCAGGATTTTAAATTCCCATTTAGTTCTGTGGGAAATATGAGATGGCTTAATTTCCTTTTCTGAAATATACATTTGGCTGAATGCATGTGTAATATTATTGCATTGACTTTGGTAGACAAAATTTGGAATTCTTTCCTTCCCTTTGGTTCCTGCTTGTCAACCTAGAAAAGACTATACTTCTTTCTGTAACAGAAGGATTATGAACTGCAAGGCATTTATATGTTTGGTGGTTTTGTAATGAAAATACCAGTTGGGCATTTTGCTGTTTTTGCTTTAGTCCATCAAAGCTCAAGTGCATTACATTACAAGCCAGTATTTCCTCAACTCATGAAAATGGTTCAGAGTATTTTTTTAAACACTTATAATTTATCGTCCTCCATTCAGTATTGTGTTCTTGTACTTTTTCTTTTCTTAAGATATGCATGTTAGAATTGGTTTGACTAGTTTTTAAATAGAATCTGAGAATCTCAAGATTTCCAGTGTATTTCAAGAATCTTAAAAATCATGTGCTCACTGAAATTTTTTTAGTCATGCTAAAAATGTCTTATAAAGTTTTAAAAGCTGTTAGTTACAGCAGCTAGTGAAAAAGCAGTTATAGAGATGGTGTAGAGAATAATTCAAGTAAGGAGTGTAAAAAAATGAATTAGAAATTCCCAACTTCATGCTGCCTTTGATATAATACAGAGGCTGGAGGACCCATACAAATAAAATGTAGTACATAAAATAAAGTGTTGAGACATTTTCCTGCAAGATGAATCTCCTCTATGTATGTCCATGTTCCATTTTTTTAATTTGTTATCATTTACTGTAGTTATACAAAAATATTTGCCATTTCTCCCTATAAAATGAAATTAAATAATGGCACTCATTCATTATTAGCACAACTAAATAAATTCCAAAATGCAGTCAAGTTTACTTTCAATAGTAAATAAATCTGCTCTCCCACCACTGCCACTAAAGTAGAAATGCAAGAAATTAATACGTTAAATAGTGACAGAATCAATGGGTTTCATAATCCCATTATTAGAGTCAAATGTACTCCAAGAAACCCATGTAAATAACATACCATTTGTTAAAAAAAACCAAAACAAAACATACAGATAGAAGTAAGTTAGAAAAACATGCAGAACATGGCTTCTGGAATTCTTTGCAACCTCTTAATAATAGCTCTCAATCATGTGACTTCAAAAGAAGGATGAAGGAGGGCTTAGACTGGAAGAGTCAACCACATTTGGAAATGCTGCCCATATTCCACTCCATAGGAATGCACTGGGTAATTTTTCTGGACTTTTTTCTTTTTTTCTTTTTCATCTTGATCTTTCTTTTGCCAGCTTCTCCACCTACAATGAATTTGTTTCTATTCTACTCTGTTTTAGAGTATTAATGTGGTGATGGACAGAGAGAGGCCGAACCTGTTTACATAATTTATTTACAATATTCTGTTGGAAAGAAACATACTGACCCTTGATTGTTTCGGCTAACCAAATAGGTTCATGTAAGTCTCACAATGTAATGTACAAAACTTACACAAACAGTTGTGATAGCAAGTAATGAAATAAAAGAATCATTACATGTGTTTGTGTGTGCATACACATGCACACTGTAAAACTGTAGTTGTACAAGCATAACAGAGTAATATGAATTGTGAATTACTAGTTATAAAAAGTCTTTCAGCCTTTTTTGCCATAACTGCCTTATGCCTTCTATGCACAGTAATCATGTTTCAGAACTAAGCAGGACAGACAGAACAGTTATTTAAAACATTTTACTGCTTTGAATTCTGCCACTGAATTCACTACAACTATTGCACCTTTATTTTTCTTTCTGTCTTCCTTCTTTCTTTGGACTGTCCAAAATATGAGGCCTAAGCATTTTGTTCTGCAATCTTGATATCCCAGGCTGTCTGTATATCTGGACCAGAGGTTGGCAATATAGCACCCATGGGTGCTATGGTGACCATGATACCACTAGATGGCATCCATTGTCTGTATATATCTGTGTGTGTGTGTGTGTGTGTGTAAACACACATATTTAAAATGGCCAAATTTTCATGAAAGAGCCAAATTCTACAAGATCCCTTTCTAATTTTTAAAAGATTATTTATTTTATTCTTGCACCTGCATATTGTAAGACATTGAAGAGTGGTGCCTGCTTCCTGAAAAGGTTACTGACTGTTTTGGGGGGGGGGGGATAAAAACCTGCCAGAGTCTGTTTGTGTGTGTTTGTGTGTGTG